AGTGCTCCTGCTCTCCTCTCCTCTCCTCTCCTCTCCTCTCCTCTCCTCTCCTCTCCTCTCCTCTCCTCTCCTCTCCTCTCCTCTCCTCTCCTCTCCTCTCCTCTCCTCTCCTCTCCTCTCCTCTCCTCTCCTCTCCTCTCCTCTCCTCTCCTCTCCTCTCCTCTCCTCTCCTCTCCTCTCCTCTCCTCTCCTCCTGATATCTTGTCACAGCTCCTGTCCGATCATGCGGTCAGATTGCTCGGGAACGTAGACAGTGAGTTCTCCCTCAAGGGAGGTCCGGCGGTCAACCCTGAGCATGTGAGATTACAAGCTCTCGTCTCGCTAGCGCTGATGACGTCATGCCGTCAGATCGAATCTCATCTCAAGTCCAAGGATCTCATCAGACATGCTTTCGTTTACGGAGAAGACCAGGTCTGTTCGCATTGCTCCATCTCCTGCTCCATCTCCTGCTCCTGCTCCTGCTCCTGCTCCATCTCCTGCTCCTGCTCCTGCTCCTGCTCCTGCTCCTTCTCGTGCTCGTGCTCGTGCTCCTCCTTCTCCTCCTTCTCCTGCCCGTCTCACTGCATGTGTCAGGAATTTTGTGTCGCCCTTATTGTCCCAGAGTTCGTCCTGCTCCAAGAGACGCTTGCTCATCGGCTGGGGGATGAAAGGTTTCGACCTTCTCCCCCTCCTCTCCTCGCTGACATGCAAGCAGGGAATATTCCTCCTTCCAGCTCATTGCTGGTAACGTCAACATCTCCACATCTCACCCCATACTTGTCTGAGCTACCTGATGCCCATCTCCGCACCTCTTCTTCAGTTGTAACGTTGTTGACGTCCCGCCGCTGCTTCTCTCTTTTCTCACATCACATCTTTGCTCCTCCCCTTTGCTCTACCCCGCTGCTCTTGAGCTGACGACATGGCGGCAGATGACTCTCTGAGAGCTCTTGTCACCAAGGAGATCGAGGATTGTCTCGGCAGCTTGCAGTCGATCGTGAAAGATCAGCGGGCCATCCCCAAGAAGTTTGTCGTCCTTGACAGACCGTTCTCAATCGAGGTACGAAAGTCCTCCCTCCCTCCCTCCCT